ACCAAGCGATGTGAGAGTGAACTGGTCCAAGCAACAATTTCTAGTCACGATTATTATCAATTCGCACAGGTGAGACGGCGAAACTGGGTGGAATAAATTCAGTTGTCACGAAAGTCGCACAAAACTTTCGGTCGAGTTAAAAGTAACACAATATTATGCGGTGGCTGATAATTTACGAGTGCGGGAACGGGACGCATGGTAGGTATATTTATATAAAAAGCCGAACAACACACCACTTTTCGCTATCATAATAATATTCAAAGTGGCAGTCGCTCGGTCGCATTTACATTTAATAAAATGTGTACGCGCGGAGAGAAAGACACACACGCTTCGGCGGGCTGAACGCACGGAGTGTCTTTTTAAAGCGCACGGGACTTGTTGCTGCGGCGGAGCGGTAGTCGCGCGGCAGTAAATAACAGTGCTAACAAGTGATTTGCATACATTATTTGACACACCACGCGCATAAGCCAAGGGCGGAATGTGGGGGCCTGTGTGTGGGGCATCTCGCCTCATTTTACGCTCCGAACACACACACCCATGCACTCACTCGCAGCCCAGTTTGCTCAACCGATCTTAATCTCTTCGCCTGCACTTAGCGCACAAGTATCGTTTTTCCCACTGGAATTATTTTACTTTTGTTCCAAATCTCATGTCCAACAGTCGATGTCTTTGAGGTTCATAACAATTCAAGAATCAAAACTTTGATAAAAAAAAGTTTAAAGTAATTTATTTTGTACTGATTAATGTTAAATAAGTATGTTGTATAAATAAGTCACATTAAATACTACCAAAATATGGGTTTATAAAGTTAACGTAAGTAGTTCTTTATGAGTCTTTGATTTTTTCGGATTTTTTCATGTCATGTGGTTTATTATGTGAAAAAAGCCATAAAATATTAAGAAAATTTGTATTTTTTTCTTTTGAATTTTTTTTGATTAATTAAAAATAAGTATTATAAATTTAAAAAATAACACAATCACACAAATATGTCTAAATGAAAGTTAAATAAAAAAAAGTAGTTAGAACTCGTAGTATTTTAAATATTTCCAAACATTGAATTTAAGAAATATTGAAACCAGGTAACCGTCGTTGCAAAGAAAATAAAATTATTTTTTTCCTGAATATTTTTAATGGATTTCTATGTTTAATAAGGGCCGGATTTTGTTGAAAAATAATTACTTAATTTTATATAAAATCAGCATAAAATATCTTTTTCTGTAAAAGAAAAAACATGAAAAATTATTGTTATGCATACCATAGGGCTACATTGATATATGATAATCAAATTTTGAAGTCACAAAATAGCTCAATTCTTTTTTAACATGCGAGTTTTTATTCGATGAGAGCTATCAGAAGAGTATATTGTCCAATTTTGTCCACCATATTCAAATTTCAAAAATAGCCCGAGTCAAGGTAGGCTTTTGGATGGCCTTCATTGATAAAACAAATCCAAAAGAAAATAACTCAAGTTCATCAATAAAAAAAAAATATTTGTTTTCTAGAAAAATTTCTTGCATGAAGTTAATTGTTTTTTATTTGAGCAATTGCAGCTTTTGAATCGCTCTCATTATTATTTGCAAACTTCGCGTTACGAAAGCGCAGATGTTTTGCCTTTGTGGTTGTGCGAGCTGATAAAGTGCTGCCGAGATTGTCTCGCTCGCTTCTTTTGTGTAATCGCCCGCCACTGCTTCGGTGCATATACGTGTGCTTATGCAAAACAGCACTCGTCGACTCGGTGCCTGCGAAATAAAAGCTTGCGCCCGACCATATGGCCGCGCGCCGCCGTCGCGCGGTTATTCTTTCACTCAGGCGTGTCTGTCAATCAACTTTCAAATTAAGCACCGCCGCGTTGGAAATTAAATTAGGTGTGGCTGCGCGCGGCCGTGAATGGAAGAGGAGCTGTTGAAAATAATGAATTGGCTCAGCTGATCATTGCCGGCAATCTGCGCGTCGTGCACCACCAATCGGCCACATCGCCAAAATTGAGCATTGTTTGCAATCTCGATTTTGAATCTGCTATGATAAAATCTCCAAAATAACTGAATAAAATTATCGCAAGACCCTATTTGATCTTTTAAATTTAAACTTATACACATATGGAAAAAAAGTTTTTACTTAATACAACAAATTAAGTAATTAATTACATTTCAAATTTAGAAAGATTTACAGAAAGTGATCTTATTATGGTCTTATCATCCTAAAAAGTACGTTATGTGATCATTTGAAGGAAAACTCCATCAGGGTTTTCTTATTAAAAATAAAAAAGTTTCAGTTAATAAAATTTCTTTTTTAAATCTATTAATTCAATAAATTAAATTGAAAGATACTGTGGAACTTAATTATATGAAATCAAGTTTTTAATGTAATAATATTCTATTTATTTGCTTTTTTTTCTCCTTTTTTTTTAAACTGCATGATTTTGGATTTAGATTTTTTGCCAATTTTTGCAGAGAAATTCCTCCCCCAGCCAAATCGATGATAAAATTAGCAGAAATTGTTACTAAAATATAATATTATGCAATTAATTGATATCTTGATGGTACATAGGGAAAAATATGAATTCATTTCAATCATATGATTTCGTCTAACTCTAATCATAATTTTGTTAATATTTAAAAACAAAGAATGCTTCTTATTTTTGAACTAGGGACGCAGAAGTTATCCGCCTCCATGCAAACAAAAACATCTGCGGCGAAATCACAGCATTTTTACTGCCCATATGCGGGTGCATGCGTGCGACCCGGAGGCCTTTTCTTTTACCAAATCCTCTTCATTTATGATATCTGGAAACAAGTACATGTGTGCGTCCTCCCACGCTGCGCTGCAGTTGAAACATCTTTTTCAATATTTACCCAGCACACCTGTTAGCCTCTGCGAAAGAAGCAGCGGAGAAGGTTGTCCGCCTTTCGCCTTCTGCATTTGGCAGCGAATTTTTTTCCACTCATCACGACGTTGGCGGGGATTAATTGATTTCATTAGCATAATTAGGCATAGTGCATTCTTTCATTTTTCATCAGGTGGTTTTTAAAAGATTCTGAATGGACAGTGTAATTGTTGCACGAATTAAGCCCAAGGACCATTCATTGATTCGGGAGTGGCTTTGTTTGCATTGCATTCAAATTTAAGCCAGTTGGTTTTACATCATCGCGTTGTCCAGCAAATTGAGTTTATTTGCTTTTGGCCCAAATCGTCAGCCTTTCATTGAATATTCATCTTTCGCCTTTTCTCATCCGGGACAATTTTCACGCCGGGTGCAGCATGTTTTAGAATTCACTTAGCATTACTGCTGCTGTATGTTTGCTCTCTCACGCTTGCATTTAGTCAAAAAAGAATGACAAACCATTATATTATATATTTTCCTTCTAATTTCCTGCTCCTTTGCTTGACACAAATTATACACGGACGGGGACCTCTACTGTGAAAATACATAAAACTCGAAATGTGTCTAGACGGGTATCACCCATGCATTCAAGAGCAGACTCGTTATTAAAATATTTCAGCTTCGTGTTAGTGGAGCAAAACATATTTTATTTTTTTATTACTCGCTAACTGCCACGGGGAACAGAGGGGGCGCGTGTTCAGGATCTGTGCTGTTGTCGCTTAGGTTTTTTTACATGTTAGGAATAAAATAAAATTTTTGTGAGTAAATCCAGCAAGAGATCCTGTTGCGCATAATTAATAGTTTCCACCCTGGTGGGTGCTTTAATTTGCCGAGGCTGCGCGCCGTAGGTCGTTTAAAATATTACATAGAAATATTTGAGGATGCTATCGTGATATAGGTGTGTGCAAAGAAGCGGGATGTGGAGCCTACGTGCAATTTCACGCATTTTATTCTCATGAATCATCAGATGAAAGAGAGAAATGAGGATTGTGTAACAAAACTCATGCTGCATTACTCCAGTAAAATTAAGGTTAGCACTTAAAGCATATACTATTTTCTTGTAATCAGCTAATTTAAGGTGTTCAAAGTTATTCAATATCATTTTTAAAGTTTCAAATTTTTTAAATTCTTAAATAAAATTTTAACTATTTAACAATGCATAATAATAAATTTTTTTATGCTGGAATGATTTCGTCGCATATTGAATTGAATATATTTAATTAAATTATACTATTCATATATGCAAAACATGTCAAAAGTTTTAATTTCGTTTATGTCTCCACTTTTTTTTTCATTTCTACAAAAGAATTGAGGTACTTGAAATTTTATCTCTTTAAGCGTCTTTAAGATAATTTTTAATAATGCAATTTGCGTTGATATTAACAGCAAAAAAATATTGAAATTGCATATTGTAAAGCATGGAAATTTGATAAAACCAAATTAAAATAAATAAATATATCCCGTGAAATAAAGATTGGTTCTTAATTATTTTTTACAGCCCTCTGTTCTCAATTGAAGTGTTATTGTTGGAATCAATCCTGTTCTCCTATGGCTCCCAATAAAAGAAAGCCCACTGCGGGATTTATTTGGCCTTATTGGTAAATAATATCAAGTTGTATCGCTAGAGGCTCCAATTACCGGCATTTATTCCTCGCCGTTGTAAAAAGCCGTGTGCTTGTTTGCGTTTAAATAGAAATAAGAGCAACACCTGCGCCCGAGCTGTTATAAAGGAGTTTATTCTCGCTGGCGTGCATTTTTTTTTATTTATGATTTACAAGTGGACCAAAGAACAAGAGAGAGAAAAGTAGAAGTGTATAGAGAGGCATAATTGACTATAAATAAGCGGCGCAGGGCAAATAAACTCAAGTTAATTGAGCGAGGTGATTTATTCATGATTCTATGCGCCGCCTTCTCATTTTGTTGTTGTTGTTGTCTAGCGGACGAATGGAAATAAGTCATTTAAATGGAAATATTTTTCCAACCAACTCTGCGTTTTCGAGCCTAATTGAGATGTGTTGAATCACAGTTATCTACATAATTTTTTTACCCCCGAGGAAAATCGATCGATAAATTACAGGATGCCACTTATTATAAAAAGCTGGGAAAATAGTGGAAGGTGTGAAAATGCTGTAATTTGATTTTGGATTAAAATTTAATCTGATTATAATCACATCTATTATTCAGGAAAAATTACGACAGCATAGTTTTGTGAAGTCCAAATTACGGCTCGTAAATTGGTTGCTCATAAAATATTCATAAATTCGATTATTGGCCGGTGTTTTGTTCGGAATCAACAGGTTTATTTTGCAGCTTCTTCTGCTCTTCGGCGGGAATGACTTGCTTCTGCCTCAGGAAAAAGGGCAAAATGTTCACAAGATGGTTCAATTCCTTGATCAAAAACTTGGCGGTGTCCTGGTCCTTGGCATTGACATTGATCACAGTAATCTCCAAACCACTGGCGGAATTTTGAGGTTGGGTGACGTACGCGTAATTGTCGCCGTAAAAGTTGGTTGCTGGGTCGTAAGGGTCGTAATAATATTTCTTCAACTGATCCACCTGGTCAGACTGTTCTGGTTCTTGGACGGGAGATTCTTCCTTGGATTGTTTTTTGGAGGAGGAATGCGAAAACGACGTAGACGAAGAAGACGATGAGGATGAATCTGCGTCTGCAATATTTCCCTCAGAGTTAACAACCACCTTATGTGAAAATTGGGAGATTTTAGGTTAGCTAAAATTGAAAAATACTTTCCTTACTTCTTCAATCACATCATTGTTGCCATTTTCATTCAGATTGAATTCCTCCACTGCCAATTTGCCCTCAGTTAAAACACTTGACTTTCAAAATAAAATAAATTAATTAGTATAAAGATGCGAAAAAGTCAAAAGAAGGGCATGAATAGCTTTAATAATATAAAATCTTGATTGAATTTTCTAAAATTATTTCTACCGGTGCAATAAAAAAGAAATGAATTTTTATCAATCGTATTTTTAGCTCTGAAGCAATTCCAAGTGAGAGGCATTTTTACATGGCTGCTGAATACAGAAACTGCTGATGCTCATATTGTGTGTATAAAGAAATAAAAAAAAACGTATTTTTCGAAAACATCTAAACAAAATATCTTCATGCACCTGCATATCCTCATTTTCAGGTATACAATTTTTTTATATCCAAAACTTTTCAAGCCCTATGTAATAATATGTTTATAAAAATTTTGAATATACTGATGCTCTTCTCTTACCTCTTTATATAGTAGAGTCAGATATAATAATGGCCTCCCGTTTGACGAGTTTGTCGGGTTTCTTGAAAATTAAAAAAAAAATATCAAGTTCCACTAAAAAAGATTTTTAATAAAATAATTTACGTTTTTATTATCAGGTGGATTCACTACTTTTACAGGAGGCATTTCAGGGACGATATTTTTTATTTCTCGAAAACCAAGTTCTAAATGATATTATTTACATTAATAAAAATATACATATTATGTACTATGGATATTTCATGATGCAATTCGGTGCAACGCGCGCAGCACAGAATAATTGATCTTAATTTTTTAAATTTTTACTTTGGATTTATTCAGGTTCCTATGCGGAGATACACAAATTTGTAAATTACGAAAATTCTAATTCTATATGTTTTGAGTGGGTTGAGTAAATTGAAAATTGCTCTCAAATAGCATCATAAAACTAACATTCTGATTTTAGTGGTTTCAATTGTTACGTTTTATATAAATTTTTACCTCTCCTCAGGCCATTTTGCCGTTCTTCAAGGGTTGGGCCGGTTAGGGGTTGAGGTGCACCAGCAGCTCCATTTGCAGCTTCCAAAGGTGCAGCAGCAATCTTAGACGGAATTCGATTGTTAAAATAAACGAATTAAAAATTTTAAGACGTATGTACCAAAGTTGCTGAGGAAAGAATAGCAAATACCAGGAGCACCATTTTGCTCCAAGTTTTCGCTCTCGCCTACAATAAAATGATTTGTATAGTAACTTTGGGATGGAACATATTTGAATACCTTTTCTTTCCCACTTTTGCTTATCGCAAATTGAGCTAAATGCACAAAGAGCACGAAAATATGGAAAATCACGTATTCTAAGTGCCGATAAGTTAAATTTTAAACATAATTTTAAATGGAGCGATTTACGGCATTTAAAATAATAGCAGGAAAACTGATTTTCTAAAGAGAACGCGCGTAGGAAACGTGAAAGATGCGAGAGGGGGCTGAGTGATTTATCGCGGGGTGCGTGAAAACGCAATCATTAGCGGGGGCACTTTATCAGAACATGAACCCTCCCAGCGTGCAGCCCTTTTAATAGCGCTCATCACCAACCCCATCAATCCTAGCGGTATATACTTCTTTAAAACGGTTATATTAATTCAAAATTATCCCTTGGATTTCAACAACCCTTTACGCCAAAACCAACGAGAGGAAGAAGGGAACAACAAGATTTAAATTTATTTGCTTACCTTCAATTACAAAAATTTTCATGCTTGCATCTTGAAATTTTGTATCCACTTCACATTATTCTAAAATCTTTGAAAAAATAAATAAATAATAACCCTCGTTTTTTTGATCTAAAAAAGTTTAAGCAATGAATTTAGTGGACGATTTTCAGATCCAATGTTAAATTTTTAATTGAAATTTTTTATCTCTTATTTGTGGTTAAGTTTTGGTGGTCTAGAATAAATTAACATTGCATTTCGTACCGTCTGCTGGAAATTTAATAAGCCTTTGATTTTTTAACTTATGCATTTAGAAGTTTTAATTTCCAAAAAGTCTGATTTAATTAAATTTGCATTGTCTGCACTATTCTTTTAATGTCCTGAAATTTTTTTATGAATAGCTCTTGTGAAGAAGCTATCGTAAAAAATTAAATCTCTTAGACAGTGACGACAGTGGTGTTCCAAACACAACATAACAGTTTATCGCCTAACGCGCACTCAATTTAGTATAAATGTTTGGTGCAATTAGTGCAGCGTCACGCAAGCGCCTTTTCACTCTCGGTTTCTTAAACGCGCCGCCGAGAGTTAATTATCGACTTGATACATTTAATTGATGGCAGCTAACGGGTTTCTGCATCCGTCGTCGCAGGCAAGCGGCCTTCCCTGTTCGGGTTAAGGTCTTCACTACGTACCTGCTTTGCGCACTTGCATATACCGGCGGCTGATCCATTTATTATAAAATTTGTCCGTCTATCGCTTTCCTTTCTTCAACTGGTGCTCACTTTTGCTTTGCTATAGTTATATAGTAAATAGACTGTACTATTTGGTACTATTCTGAAAATAATTATTCTAACAATTTTTCCTATTTAATGAATAAATATACGAGTGCTTGTTCCTCTCTAACCACATTGCTTTTACAAAAGAAAAAAATTAAACACCTGATGGACACGCAATGGTGTAGATTTTAGATTTTACTCAATTTCGAAGGCTCAATTAATATCAGGCACGTGAGGAGACGTTTATGGAGTATAGAAAACGGGCTTTCCTTTTTTAATTTTTAATGGCTTTACCAGTTAAGTCACAGTCCTCAGTTTTATTTCATGAGCAAAATAAATTAAAAATTGAATGAAAATTTAATACCTAAATATTAATATTTGCATGAACTCTACTATTTTTAATCTTTTAAACATTATCAGTAAGAAGATTTCGGAACATTTAGTCGAATTGAGTAAAATACATTACATCGCAAGATAGACAACATAATGTATTCTAGTGTTTTCACCGAGTCTTTAAGGAATTATTATTATGTTTATATTTAATTATCCAGCATGATTGCCTTATGTTACAATTTATAATAATATTATTCATAGATATCCTGAAAAGCGTCTTGACAAATCAAGCTAGTGAAATGTGCTGGAAATATCATCAAGCGAAAAATTGTTGATTATTAATATGCACTTCTTCCATATCATTAAAGAAATGGCTGTAAACAGTAATGCAATCCAAGTTGAGAAAGACTTTTAAAATTTACGATAATTTAATATCTTGATATTTATACCCTTTGCTTTCACTTAATTTTATTTTTGAATCAGTATTGTATTTTTGAATGCGTGAAATCATTTTAAGTAAAATGCACTTGGTAAAAACTATAATAAATAGTTTATCAAAGTCAAGCATAAACTGAACTTTCAAATTAGAGAGAGATCTGAATTTAGGATGGATCTATGGTCTAGCTAAGGATTTCTTTGATTAATTTATAAAATATCAAACATAACATTTTTCTCATTACCTTCATAAACAAATAAAATGAAATAAAAAAATCTGTTTTTAAGTTGCCTAATTTGTTTTTATTTTCTTTTAGTTATTGAATTGGATTTTTTTTTTTTAAGTTCTCATTTTGATTTACTGGATCATTTGATCAATTTTAGCAGTCCTTTCTTTTTCGGTCCAACTTCTACTTAGTCTGAGCAATCGCAATCGCCGGAGCAGCCACACACCGTGATGTGCACGGTAGCAGGAAGCCTGATCTTGGCGCAGTTGTCATGATTACTATTACTATCATTGCCTGTAGAGCCGCTATCGTTGCAGTCACTGTCGTTTGATCCTGAGCCACCGGTATTAGGTTTCTTAGTTGTGGTGGTGGTAGTAGTGGTTGTGGTTGTGGTGACGCATCCATTGGGACCTGGCAGCTCGTTAGGGTCATCGCACTCTGGACGGCACACTCCATCTGGACCCATTTGCTCGCCTGGCTTGGTACATTTGGGGTAGCAATTTCCGTCAGCAGCGCGTTCTTCTTGGTCAGGTTTGCAGGTTGGACGGCACTTGTTGTCGGGACTCACTTCTTGATTAGGTGGGCAGGTTGGTCTGCAATTATCATTTTTATCAAGTCCTTCGCCGGGTTTGCAGGTTGGTTGGCATTCGTTTTTTTTATTGACAAATTGACCGACTGGGCAGGCTCCAGTGCACCTGCCGTTGTTATCTAAACGTTCATTGGATTTACAAGCTTTTGCGCATTCTCCTTTTCCGTCGGGCACTTCGTTGGCTTTGCACTCTTTTTGGCACTTATTATCACTTTCTTTGCGATAGTAGCCATCTTTACATTGCTGCTGGCAAGTACCAGTATAATCGAGTTCTTGAGACTTCGGGCATACGTTGCCGCAATTTCCTTTAGGATCACGTGTTTGGCCCTTAGGGCACTGATTGCGACAGTTTTCCTTGGAATCGTGTTCTTGACCTGGTGGGCACGTTGGAAGGCAACCTCCACCAGGTTTCCTTTTTTGACCTGCTGGGCATGGCTCTTGGCATTTTCCACTGTAATCATGTTCTTTACCAGCTGGGCATGGATTTTGGCATTTTCCACTTGGATCGTGCACTTGACCATTTTTGCATTTTTTGACGCATTTTCCATTGACGGCAGATTGATCGCCTCTGCACGCAGTTACGCAGTTTCCTTTGCTGTCTTCCAAATTGCGAACTGATTTGGAGTCACAACGGCATTGGCCACTGACTGGTTTTTTGCCTGCGTCGCACTGCCTCTTTTCGATCTCCGCATCAGTCCACATCCACTCGTCATTATCAGCCTGCAATAGTTTCACAAGCGCCATTGATTAATATTAGTTTTACTTGTTTACTGATATCTAATCTCACCCTGAGAATGAATTCTTTCAGCTCCTTTTCTCGGTTTAGGACACCGCCTTGGGCAAGGGTGCACAGGGCCAGACAGCCTAGGAGAGTTGCCAAGATCATTCTTGGCATCCTTGAAGAACTAGATGGTGATATTTGAAGCGCTTCCTTTTTATACTGGATATTGGCTGTTTTTAAAAATATTTGTGTTCGTCATTTGCTTGTGTCTATCTATAAATGAGATACAAAACTGTGATATCAAGAATTTCAAAAAGAGAACTCTGTATTGTTTGTGTTTTCACAAGTTATAAGCTGTAATCGAGGAAATATTTTTGTTTTTACACTTTGTCAAGCTGCGCGATTCAGTAACGCTAATTTTGTCACGGCCTGAGCAAAAGACGTAATATAATTTTCAGAAAAAAAATTGTAAAAATGCTGTATTTTTTTTCAAACGAGGCATATTTTTAGTTTAAAATTGTAGTTGATAAGTATCAGAAAAAAAGTCCGCTAGGAGGAGGTCATTTGTCATTTTTTTCCAATTCCTAAGCAAATTGAAATAGAGTGTGTCTTCAGCATATTTTAATTTAATTTTGTTTATATTTTTAACGAAGATAAAGACATGATTTAAATTTTTTTTATAATAAAAATCAATAAATTTGTTTATTATTTATAAACGGGAATCTGAAACAATTGAATAATTAGAATAATGATTTAAGTTCGTCAAACTTTTTTTGGTCTTTCTTTATGTGAATATTGTGTCACAATAATGTTATCGAAGCTAAATATCAACATTCAGTAAAATCTACAAATTTTATTTGTGAAGAATTTCATATTTGAAATTAAAGCTATTTAATTTTTTCAGACCATCATCACAGCTAAATTAGTTGCCCTCAGTTTTGAACCCAATAAACAAATTTCTGAAACTAAATTAACAAAGTGTCTAAAATAATAAGTTGATTTAATGAATTAATAGGCATGGCATCTTTTATTAATTATGGCGTCAAATAATTAAAAATTAATTTTTTTATGTTATGATCTTTTTTTATTTTCCTCATGATTCAGCATTATTGGACTGAGTGGTCTGGCGTGGAATAAAATTTATTGATTCTGTGTCTCTCTCATCCCCTCATAAAATAGTTTACAGACCTATTTTCAGATCGACGACCACCGCGTCTGGGGCCATAGAAAACGCCAAGTATAAATTTCATCCGTAAAAGATAAAACATCATTTCATGGCGCAGAGACGTTCGCGTGTGGAGTAGATGATCCATTAGAAAGGGGACTTGAATACAGAGTTGGGAAGAATTTATATTTTATTTCCACTAATAATAATTATAGTTTAAAATTGATTTATGTTAATGTTTTTTTAATTAACAGGTCATGCAACAATTTAAATTATTAGATTTTCATTGTGTTTTAAATTATCTAGTTTTTGTTTAAACTGAAGATTTTCCTGATTTGATTCTCTGTGAAGAGCACCTGCTTCGTCCCACGCAATCACTTCACTCTTGGGAGCCTCATAATTCACGTGAAGTGCTTCAGCGCGCGGAGAGAGAGGGCATCAAAAGGGCCCACTTTTGATATTACGCAGGTAACATTAAACTTAATCTTAAACGTCTACCTGATATTCAGGACCATTAGTCATCCTCGCTTTTATCAGAGGAGCATTAGCATAATGGACTCGGATAGTGTTTCTGACAAAAATTATGAGGCGAAGTGAAAAGTGTGCGTTAAAAGCAGCACGGCTTAGAGTCCAGCGTTGATATCGCCTAGGAATCACCTGCCTTTCCTGCTCAACGTCGAGGGGACAGAATTAATACTGAAAAATTTACTAAATCGTTAGAAAATTTAAAAATTAAAAATATCTGTTTACCTATTTCATGTATAATTTAATATCAGTAAATATATTTAATTCCTTCTTTTATATCTGAAACTGAAAATGCTTTTTCAAATATTTCATTTTGAACCTTTCATAAAAAAAAAACATTGGCCCTTACAAATAAATCTTTTAACCTTCAGTTTTTTCAATGCCTTGAGCTCCAACCCTTAAATTATTATATAATTTGGCTGCTGGTGTGAGCACACTTGAGAATACTCCGGCCTGCCTGCTTCTGATGCGTTTTTGGGTTGTGTTATTTTTTGTTTGCCTATGTGCAGTAGTTTTCTCAGAGGACGGTGTGAGAATTAATATGATTGAGTGTTTTGTGTCACGCTGCGAGATTCGTTTGCTCTGGGAAACGCGTTTTTGTCTGACGGGCGCGCGAGTAAAAAGTTTTAGGGCCTGTCTGGCCGAGGGAAATTTCATGATAAATTATTGTTGGCTAACCGTCCCCCCAGAGTGTTCGGACTACTGGCCAGTAGGTTTGGGATTAGAACACGGTCCTAATGCGCTCAGCAGGCCACGCACCCATAAACTTAAGCCCTAATGGCCAAAATCATTATTCAAAGTTTCAAGACGACATAATTTTTTTTTCTAAAACAGTAAACAGCTCTAACTTTGTATACGCAGGAAATATGAAGCTCAATCAAATGATGATATAAACATTGATTTTAATTAAATTTTTTTCATATGAACACTCTTGATGGAAATTATTAGCAGATTAGATCATTCTGATGTGAAATTTGTAAATCTTTATACACAACCTTTGACTGTTTTCTGTTAATTATATTTTTTCTGCAAACATATAATTATTTTACCAAATTTTAAACAAATTTTCAAACTATGTACAATTGATTCTAATTAAAATTCAGACTGGCAAATAATATTTGGAAAAGATTTATTCAAAGGAATTATTTTAAAAATCAACTTTGTGTTATTATCTTGAAAATCATCGCATCGCTTACTAAAATGAATGGAATTAATAGGAAACAATACAATTCATACAGTTTTATTTAAAATATTACTTGTATTATATAATTTGATTGAAACAATGAAGTAAAAAATATTTGGATTTATTTGTGTTAAAAAAAATTAGATTTTATGAACATTATAATTCTAGATTTTACTGTTGATTATTTAAAGATAAAGGTCTAAAGATTTGCTTAAAAAGTCTTTTTAACTATAAAATCTTATAATATAAACGCCGAGAAAAGAATTATTTTATTTTTGCATCCTTTTCCTGGAACGCGCTGCTTTTATTAGGTCTTAATTTTAAAAAGCATCCACCACTTCCCATTGAGTGAATCAACCAATTTGCGCGAATTTATGATATCACTCTCGTAATTTTGGACCACCACAGGCATATCTAAAATTAATGCGAGAGGCAAACACAAAGGGGATCCGACCACGCCGCTGGTGAATTTATCTCATTATTAAAACGAGTGGCTGACATTTCCGAGAAAATCGAGAGAGGGTTCCAACTTTTTGATTCAGCGGCATAACGCAGCACAAAGAAGACTGACGAAACTATTTCACTGCAAGTGGGAGGAAGCTCCGCCGGCAGATGCAAAGTTATAGGAGTCTATTTCGGCCTCCCATGCACAGATTAATTTATGGGCGAAGCGTGCGGGTAAGGAAAATTCCGCAAAAATCAGCTCAGCTCTAGTCCAATAAGGAAATCGAGCATTAATAATCTCCATATTTCATTCAACAGTTTTTAAGTTGTTTTTTAAATATTATAATGCAATATATTTTTGAATATTTTCTTAAATAATTTTTTTTTTCAAGTTTTTTATTATTAATAATAAATAATAATTATTTATTTTATGTTTGCGAATGCTGATAGCCTATAAGGCCTGGAATGGGCACTATGGTTACCAATTTTGATATGTCATTGATTAAGGGTTAATTGGGTAGATGGTGAGGAAATGATCCAGTTAATACTTGATTGCAATACATGATTTCCAACTAAGGAGACACCTATACCCTGAGAAACTTTGTTAGGTACATTGTATGGAAGTTTTAATTTTAAAACCTATTAAAAAAAATGACATGAAAATTATACTTTATTGAGAAATTTTTTGTGATAATTTAATAAGTATATATATTTTTCAATGTTATTAAATTAAAATTCTACCAAAAATCAAGTAATTTTGGTTTACGTAAGAAATTCAACATTCCTAAATTATTTAAAAATAGAGGCATTTATTTATACTTTTACCAAAAGGCTGCCAGCTGATTTTATTACGATCGTCTTGCTTCCAATAAACCAGCATCAGACTCAAAGATAACGATCTTGAGGTCAAATAAACTTGAGGAAGTTTTTTTTTATTTTCTTGAGTCTGCTGTTGGTCCTGACTTGAGCTCATCCTCCTAAGTTTTATTATACTATTTGGTGTCCCAGTGATTGTCACATTTGATGATTGATGCGGGCTGACTGGTGCCTGCTGTATCAACTCTATTAATGCCGTTGACTTGTTATGTATACTTAAGGGGGTGAATTAGTCGGCGACGAGAGCTGTGTGTTTGGCCTCGTTAATCCTTGATATCCGCCTGCTTGCTGTGCGAGGAAAATAAGGTTCTCATCAGAGCTTCTGAAGGTGCAGTTTTGAAAGGGACAAAAAATTATCAAGGAAAGGGATTTACTGAAGTATACCATACTTCTTAATTTCTTTAATTGTTAAGCAAAGAAATATAACCTAGAACTGAAAATTGTATTCAAAATTTCAAACCCGTTTATTAAAAACCGTTTGATTTTGCACTCTTTTTTTATATATAAATTAAATTATAAAATAGAGCAATAATTTTAAAATCTTGATAAATAAATATAGTTGAAATCAATTATAATAAAAATTATACTATGTCAATCCAAACGCCTGAAAAATATTAAAAAGTCCACAATTCCATATTTCTTTTTGATTTTTATCTACAATAAGACACCATAAAAATAACCTCAAAATGGAAGATAAATAAAATATACAAGGGGCCGTTCACGAATGATTTAAGATAAATTGGACAGATTTTTTTTTGTTACGAGCACCACTCTGATTTTTAGATATGTTGTTAGGGTTGATGAGAAACTACTTTGACCAAATTTTTAGACCAAAATATTTATTACTTTTTGAAATATTCGGGTTTTTTGAAAAACTCAAAAATGCTTATATCTTTGCTCCTCTTAGTTTTAGAGCAATTTGGTTTTCACTATAGTAGGTAACTTTTTATTCTGAACAATTTTGCTGTTGACCAAATTGCCCTAGGTCAAAGGTCAAGGTCATTAAAATGCATTTTTAGTTTTTGA